AAACAGTGATCTTGTTTTTTTTCGAAAATGCATGAAAACTACGCCCGTCCATGTGATCATCATGGGCTTCCTTTGTTGCACACCTTTGCTTTCACGCTGTCGCATCGGCTCAGTGCGTCCCACATCTGTAACGACCTCAGACGCAGCTCCTTCCTCATCAGACTCGCGTCCTTCCGGAAGATTCCGGCCCGGCCCGTTACAAGTATGCATTACCCAAACTGAACCTAGGTTTCGTTCTCCTATATTTTCTTGAGTTTTCATAATTTCAAAGCCACGTTATCTTCATATTCCCTTTTTCTTATCAATTTCCCCTTGGATCCCCTCTCCATTCCCATATTTTATAGTCGATTCGAAAAAAAAAGGACCGAATCAATTCCAAAAATGTCGAAAGAGGAAGCTCCAGGCTCTACTCCAAGTGCTGCGAACGAGACAAAATCAGCGGCGGTCAGTGGCTCGAAAGAAAAGACCGATGAGCTCACTTTCAATGTTGGAGATGTGTAAGTGGCTAGGATTCTGAATTTCTAGGAAATTAGAGTTTTCCAGAATCAATGGATATAAACTAGTCAAAAAGATAGACGAGGGAGGATTCGGTCAAGTGTTTAAAGTAACGAAAGACTCAAAGACGTTCTATGCAATGAAACTGGAATTGAATTGTCAGGAAGGGTGTTCTGCTATCAAGTTGGAGGTTTCGAACTTTTCTTTATTTTGGCCATTTTTCATAATTCCAGATAAATGTGCTCAATCAATTGCCCAAGAACAACGTGTTTCCAGAAATGAAGCATGGCGGGAAGAAGGTCAAATTTCACTATTTGGTGCTGGAATTGTTGGGTGACAATCTGAAAATGTTGAAGGCGCGGAGCCCAAATCCGGAGATGTTCACAGATGGAACATGGTCCAGATTGGGTATTCAATGTCTTTATGCGTGAGTTAGAGTGACTTATTCTGAAGCATCAATGTTTTTGAGATCTCTGAAAATTCAAAACTTTTAGAAACAGGAATTTTTGAAAAATCTTAGTTTTCGCTAAACCTGTGATAGAAGTGCCACTAAAGAGCCCATTTATCTCGGTTCTTGTAGTAATGTATTTGAAAAACTAAAGAAACACTGTTCACTCAAAAACCAATGTAACCTGAAAGGAGAAGACAGCAAAAACACACTGTATTCTATTAAACACTATTTATTGAATCAACAATAAATCACTATAAAATCTTCAAAACCAGTGAGCCACACTTTAACGGGTCGTCACCAATCGTGAGCGAACACCAGCGAAAACTAAAGAAAACGATGAGAATTTGCCGAGAGAGGAGACGCGTTTTGGCGCGCACACAGTTTCGCGCGCGGATACAGTAATCCACACCTCTTGCACGTGTGTTCGGGGGATATTTCTCTCCTTTAGACTTGGAAAGAGGATTTTAAAAGAGAAAACACGGTAGAATAGCGTACATTGTAAAATATATGAAAAGTATGTCAACTGATAAAGTGCTTGTGATATTATGATAAACAATTTATCAGTTGACAAATTTGCGATATCTTTGACGGGAACCCAGATAAATAACCTGAAAGTTTAAAGTTAGAGGATCTTTCTATTATAGCTTTCACGCGTTCTGTCTGCGAAGCATCGATGATTGGAAGATTTTTCAAAATTCAATAACTTGTTGAAACAGAAAATTTTGGAAATCACAGTTTTTACATTAACCGTAAACACTACTAGAATGGCGGCCAACTCTCAACTTTGAGCGCAATTATCTCTTTTTTGTGAATGATATCGAAAATGAGTCAACTGATAAAATGTTGGTCATAATATCACAAACATTTTATCAATTGACAACTTTTTCATATCTTTGACAGGAACCGAGATAATCGAGCTCTAACGCGCATGAAATCACCAATGATTCGAAAACATGTTCAAAACTTCATAACTTCTTGAAACTGAAAATTGAGTGGATCCAAACTGCTTGAAACAGAAATTTTTAAAATCCCTTCCAGATTGAAAACGATGCATGACCGCGGATTCGTGCATCGAGATGTGAAACCGAGCAATTTCGCGATTGGCCTCAACACCGCGTCGGAAAATCGTAGTCGACGAGTTTTGTTGTTTGATTTTGGGCTGGCAAGAAAGTAGGATTACGGTAAAGCATAATTACCATTGAATTTTTCTAGATTTGTGAAGTCGGAGCTTGTAGCCAGTCAGAATTTGAAAAATGGGAAAAAAGGAAGTAGCCAACCGAATCGGAAGGTGTTAGCGGCCAAGAGCAAGCCAGATCTCAAAGAGCAATCTGGAGGAAAGGTAGGGAAAAAAAGAGGACTTTTTTACATTTTAATTTTTTGAAATTGCCGTTATTTTTGGGTGTCGAAAGTTTTCGGTTTCAAGTTCAGGTCAAAATGTGAAACAAAAATTCTTGAGTTCCGCGTACGAGGAGCATTTTAGTTCAATACTCTCGATTTATGTGAGTGATATCAAACTAAGTCAACTGATGAAATGTTAATGATAATCTCACTAACATTTTATCAGTTGACCAGTTTTTGATACCTCTTTTAGAAATCGGGATAAATGGGCTCAAAGTTCAAGTATCTGATAGCAAGCGATTTTTGTGAATTTCATTAACAAATTTTTCCAGCCAAACGCAAAACCCCGTCTGAGTGGTCCCCGAAGCAGCAACAATGACAGTGTGCATAAGCCTCCTCAAATCGTCTACACTTTTCGAATCGCCCGTCCTCATACGGATTTTCGTGGCACTCAACAATACGCTTCTCCAAATGCTCATAAACAAATTGAGTTGGTGAGTAGAAAAAATAAGAACTAAATAGGTTAATTGTTTTGAGATTTTTCGAGCCATCTGATAGGCTAAACTTTTTCATGTAGATTTATGATTTTAAAGTAATTTTGAACTCTTCAGAATGTATCTCAAAAATAACTAAAAAATTGAAATCTTAAAATTTCACTGTTTCGAAAAACTAATACAACTGCATCTTCCAATTGTAGACCATTGGTTTGGTGTTAATTATCGGGGTGGTTATCGTTGCCTCAATATTCAAGCGTAGAGAACATGTGTCTGTGTCTCCACTTTAAAAGTGTTATGTTGTTCTTCGCTTCGGGATATCCTCTGATACACTTCGGCATACACTTATCTCTAACCTTCTTTTCCGAGGTCAAACAATAAAAATACATTTTCGAAAAAAAACGGTTTCGGAAACTTTACTTTTTTGCTGAAAATTTATATCCACACTGCATAATCTCTAATATTAGTCCTCCCTCAAAAGAAGGTTGAAAAATAGAAGCCCATGGGCTTCTATTAGAGGAAACACGGTAAATATTTTCAGACCAAGTAGATTAGATATGATAGAACTCGACAAGTGCTACATAATGATACAGTTTGGATTACTGTATCTTGTATATGAACAAAGTTACAAGCCAATAAACCGTCTGAGCAACGCGGTCAGCTTAATTGGCTTGTAACTTTGTTCATGGACAAGATTCAGGTTTCCAATCAAGTAAATTTTGTAGTACTCGTCGAGTTCTATCATATCGAATTTGGTCAAAAAATATTTTTCCTTTAAAAGATAATGGTATTGCCCGCCAGTTCCTGCCTTAATGAGCTTTCTATGAAACCTAAACTTTCGCAGGGTCGCCAAGACGATATCTGGTCAATGATGTACATGTTGGCTGAAATGTTTCTCGAATTGCCATGGACCAACAACGATGATATTCCCATTGAGGATCTCAAAAGTCAATCTCCACTTCTTCGTTTATTCACTGATGGTGGGAATTTTTTTTTATGTTTCACATCGTTTTTGAAATTTGTTGGGAATATTTTTTTCACTTCATCTTTTTTTGCATAACTTTTTTTGTAATTGTCAGAATCACATTAAGAACATCGGTTTCTTCTTATTCAAATAATCAAGTCAATCAGTTTCTAAACAAATTATGCTAGTTTTCGAGCAAAAAATAATGGTTTCACGATTTTTTGGGTTTGATGGGAAGAATTTTTTCTCACTGTTTCACATAGTTTTTAAAATATTTGTCTTCAGGATTTTGTTCGGTGTATCTTGTGTAATCAAAATGATTGAAATCATTATTAGAAGAATCGTTTTTTTAAAAGAACCTTTTATCTTTTAAAAATAGGTTTCTTTTTTTTCAAACTTCATGAAAAAAAACCGATCAAATGCGAAAAAACTCGACCTTAAATTTTGAGCCCAATTATCTCGGTCCCCTTGAGAGATATCATTTTTTCAGTTGACAAATTTTTGATATCTTTTGAAGGTACCGAGATGATTGAGCTCAGAGAGAACGATTAGAGAAAAACACCTATTGGAGGGCCATTCTATTAGAGGGAACTTTCTGATTTAGCTCTTGTTGCATCCTAATACTACAGTAAATACAGAAAAACAATTTTCCTTCTAATTCTGTCATACGGGGTATCGAACCCATGACCCCTAGCTCAAATGCCCCTCACTACCCACTGCGCCACACTGACAAAAGCGTTGAACGTGCCACTAACCCATAGTAGAACCAACTGCTTTCAGAAAAAACGCCGACTCGCTTCTCATCGGATCAATACCAAACGATCACGGATATCGACAAAATGTTGCAGTCCTGTAATTACTACGATCATCCCAACTACGAAATGGTCCATGAGTTCTTGAAAGGAGTGATGGCAAAGTCCAAAGTGACTTGGGATTCACCATATGATTGGGAAACGGCTGCGAAATCGGAGGAGCTGTCCAAAGGTCCCAAGTCGAAAAAGAAGGGAGATAAAGGATGGGAGGACCCGAAGGACTTTTTTAAGATTTGAAAATGTTTTCCCTATAAAATTTTGACCCCGTTTTTTTCAGATTGACAAATGGGCCCAACTCAAGAAGCCAGTACTTCCGGAGAAGCAGTCGGAACCAAAGAAGGCCAAACCAAAAGCAGTGCCTAGAAGAAGAGACGACAGAAGAAACGATTATTCGAGATGTAAGGAGATGAGCAGAGAGGATTCAATCATTATGGATTCGATGAAAAAGGAAGTTAGTGCAGCGAGTGCGGTGGATTCGAAGAAGGGGTCGTTGAAGAAGTGAACTGAATTTTTTGGTGTTTTATAAACTTTGAAAACGGGCAAAAGAAAAAAAAACAAAAAAAAATATAGATAAGAAGAGCAATTAACAAATTAGAGGGGAAATTAGCGGAAATAGGCTACCCGAGAGAAATGAAACAGGGAGAAAAGATGGAACTTTAATGGGTCTTCTTCTTGTCCTTGGCAACTGCCTTGTACTTGTCTTTTCCACCGCGAAGAACGTAGGATTGGAGGAAGAAGTTGATGAAGAGAGCCAAGTAGGTGGTGTCCATGAAGACGGCGAGCTTGAAGACGGATGGGTCGAAGTCGCAGTTGGCCTGGAAAAATATTGATTTTTAGAGACAAAATAATTCTAGTCAAATTAAGGCTTCCATTTGGCAGGCGGTCGGTCGGCGGTCACCTATTCTCGACCGGCTGAAACTTAAGCTTTAAAATCCTTACATTGGTGAAGTGCATAAGATATCCGAGATGGGCGAGAACGGCGCACGAGATGATGAATTGGAGGATCTGAAGGGAGGTGATAGCCTGAGCAATGACTCCTGGCACGCGAATCTTCATCGAGCGGAGGAAGTAGTAGGAGTACATGAATGCGTGCACGACAAAGTTCAAATAGATTCCATATCTGTTGAATCCTGGAGTCAATGGGTGGGAGTACCAAGCGTAGATCATGGTGAGAATGTGATGGTACCAGTGGAGGAACATCAATGGGCGCTTGCGGAGCACCAGGAAGACGGTGTCGACGAGTTCGAAGAGCTTAGAGGCCATGAAGAGCCATACCCAGTAGCCATTTTCTCCTTTCGTGAAATCGAACACTTTGCAGTAGGATGCTGGAAATAGGTGACGTTTTTTAAAGTCTACGAATTAGGGCTTTTATTTCTTTTAGCTTGGTCGGCGGTCGGTCGGCGGTCGCCGATTTTCGGCCGCTGTTCCAAAATCTAGCTACGAATTCTCCGTTTTTTGCACGTGGGTGCCTTTTTTCTCAATGATAACGTGTTTGATAACACGATCATCTCATTGACTGGAGGCGACGTGATCAGAGAACACCAGTACTTTGATACTGGCTACGCAGTCGGCAGGCTTTCCATTTCGGTCGGTCGAAAATTGGCGTACGCCGGCCGAGCTGACCAAAATCTGCATTTGCGCGTCAACATGTCAGAGAGCGTTTGTTTTTTTTTGCCAGATTTCAATATTCCAGAATTTTTTTAAGCGTCGTAAAATAAAATTCAATGTACGCAAACACTTTCGGGCATGTTGACGCGCAATTTTGCGAATTTGGTCTGCGATCGCCGATTTCCGAAATGGAAGCCTCAAACTCGCAATTTCGAAAAATTAAGGGAAATCAGTGTTTCACGAAATACCAAATAATCCTGACAAATTCACTCACCAACGAGTCCCTTATTAGCGATGGTTCCAAAGAATTCTGGGGTCATTTTGATGGCTCCGGCGATGGAGAACGCAGCGAGAATGAAGTTCCAGATGTTGAGCGGCACGGTGAGTTGGAATGGTTGACGGTTGCGCATGAACCATTTCGTTCCGAACACGACGACCATGTAGAGGATGGAGGCCTGAAAAATGGATTTTTTAGAATAATTTACTGTTAAATCTTACCTGAATGGTGACATCGAAATGATCGGCGAAGAACTTGCGACCCTCCTTATCGGGGAAATTCGTTGGTCCATGAGTGGCGAGTGCCACGAACCGTTTTGTGTCGAATTTGACGTCGAGAAGCCGTTGAACGAGCGGATGTTGAGCCATGATGACTTCCCCGAAGATAAATTACCTGCAAAGAACCAAAAAATTCGAATTTTCTAGAAAAAAAAGGTTGCAGAGTACGACGAGAGATAGAAGATAAACAGGCGCGCCGACCCTCGTCGCGGGGTGAAAGGGCGATAGTAAAAAAGTAGAGAAAACGAGAGAGAACTCCGCCCCATCACCCCATATCGTCAGAGAGGAGGGATTCGAATTGAAATTGAAAAAAAAACGAGAGGAAACGTCCTTCGTACCCTTGGCGGGGCTCTTATCAGGCGTTTCTTGTGGCCTCGGGTGAAGACAGCCTGACGCTGGAGACAATTTGAAAGACCGAGCATTTTACGGAGGTGGCATGATTCAGACTACAAAAAAAGAGATAGAATCTGTATATTCAGGGAAATTGAAAAATAAATCGCTTTTTAGGGGTTACAAGATTTTTTAAAAATAATATTATGATATCATACTCACCCTCCCTTTCTAATTATCATGTTCCCCAATTTTCTCCCAAAAATATTCGCTCCTTCCCGAGTTACGGCTCATTTTTTGCTCCATTTTCTTCCCAAAAGTTGCGTGCGGCGCGGAAAAGTGGGCGGGCGAAGTCGGCACAAGGCTGCGGCGCGGAAAATCGGCGAATTACTTCGAGCCGATTTTTGTGAATTTTTGGGTTTCGAAACGCTAGAAACAAAAGAAAAAGGCTTTAAAAAAACGTTTTTCGATTCGAAATGTTTTACAATACAAACATTTAGCAATCGAGCCATAAAAATGTTTATTTTCGGTTTTATTCGAAGTGTTTTATGAACCCTGAGTGATAAGAATGTGTGAAAACTTTGGCTATAAAAATATTCAGTTCACTTGGCAAAAATAACTTTGGGATAATGGCTGTTGACACGTGGATTGGGTCTCATTGCGAATTCAAAGCAACAAAAAACAAAAAAAAGGATTTTTTCAGATTTTTCGGACACAGAAACATGAAAAATCGGTTTTTTGGAACTTAGGAAACGACCGTAAAATTAAGTTCTTCATGCAAAAAGTTCTTCTGCACCGCCCGTACAGCTCTCCTATTTTCGGACTCAACGCCTTCAAAATCAGTTTTTCAGAAATTAGATCGACATCACAATTTTAAAAACATTTTTTAGCATCTGAAAACAATTATTTCAAAGAAAATTCGATAAGATAACAGTGATAAAAGCAGAAAAATCGAAGAAACTGAAATCAAAAATCCGCCGCTTTTTTCGCCTCGCTAAACAACGCGCGACTACGACACTCCGCATCACCCACCTGCTATTTTTTCGGACTTTCGCTTTAAAATTCCAGAAAAACAGATTTTCAGACCGTTTTTCTTGAATTTTTAATCGGAAAATCGAATTTCTGACTATTGTTAACCTTGTCTAACGTGATTAACCCCCGATTTCAGCTTTAACCCCTCTAAAAATGAGTTCTGATGGACGCATACGAAAAGTGGTTTTTCTTGGTTAAATTCTTATCGATTCCTAAGACTTGTGAGTTTTTTAATGATAAAAAAGTTGTTTTTTGATTACTCAAAATGCTATTTTCAGAAATCTCATGGTTCTGTGATCTCAAAATCCTTCTAGTGATCTCTATTTTGTTAACTGCTAATAAACCATTTTTATACTCAAATTCTTTATTTTCTGTTTCTTTGTTGCTTCTGTGCGTTTAATCGCAATCTTTTTATCTGGAAATAACCGAAAACCCCGCAAGAAACCATCCAGAATTCCAGAATGTCGGCACGCCTCTTGCGTTCAGCTGTGGTTCGAGCCACCCAGCAGCGAACCATGTACGAGAATCCATACATCAACCGTTTCAAGGCCAGAAGCAAGGTTTCTGAGGATTTCCACAAGAAGACCACCGGAATCACCGGACTCTTCGTAAACGAGCATCCACATCGCGCGTTGACCGTTGTCTACGGCCGTATTCTCAGAGCGCTTGAGCAAATGCCTCGTGACGCCGCCTATCGCAAGTACACTGAAGCTGTAGGTGTTTGAATAGGCGATAAGAGGAGAATTTTGATTTTTTTTCCAGGTGGTAAAGCAGCGCTTGGCTCTTGTTCAAGCTGAGAACGACATCAAGAAGCTTGAAGAGAAAATTGGAATGGGACAAATCGAAGAAGTCATTGAGCAGGTTTGTAAGAGATTAAATAGCGAATTTCGAATTGAAAAAAAATGTCAAGACTTTGAAATTGTCAATCCAGGCAAGGGAATCCGACAAAATCCGTGTTTAAAAAAGAAACTTGCTCAAAATTTACAAAAAAAAATTCCAGGCCGAGTACGAGTTGGAGACGACACGAGCAATGATCGATTCGAAAGCATGGGAGCCACTCGTCGAGACAGCTCCAAAGGGACAATGGTCGTGGCCAGTTTAGAGAAGAACCTGGATGATAATTTCTCTCTTGTAGATCGATTTTTTTTTCTCGTTTACGATTATTAAAAAATAATTTTTCATTGAGTTTATATGAAGTGGTAAATAGTGAGAGATTTATAAGATTTTGTAGCAATTTCAGTGTCAAAAAATTGAACAGGATCGTCTTGAGGAGACCTGTGCTGAATTCCAGATTTGATTCATGAAGCAGAGATTTTCGGATTGGATTTCCGGATATTCCTGTCATTTTTGGAATATTTCAGATTTTTTTTTCAAAAATAGAGGTTTTCTTGTACCTCTACGCAGAATGGGAAGCAAATATGGACGCTATTAAAAAACGTGTTTTTCAGTTGATTTTGACCCTTTGTAAGAGTCTGGAGCTTATCTGTCAAGTGTCCGATCATTTTGAAAACTTTGGTGGCTGTAAAACAGACCTAGATTGAAAAATTTTCACTTACAGAATTTTTGAAAATTCCTAGTTTTTAGCGATTTTTCCTTCTCTCTCAGGATTTACAGTATTCTAACATAAAACTTTATTATCAGGTGCATTGCCAAAACATAAATACAAAACAAGAACAAAGTTATTCATTTATGAGTGTAGTTAATTTTAATCTAAATTCCACACCACAAAGGTAAAGAAGTATTGTATCCGTGGTTTCGAATACGGCCGTATAACAAATTCTTGTGTGAATGTAGCCAAATCTCCGTTATTGCGACGAATCGTAATACCTCCTGCCGCGTCAAACGGTTCATCAAGCAAATAACTGAAAAATATATGATCAGATAAAGTATTGTTAACGAAAAACTTCCTGATTATAAAATCTTTTTGGTGGTGGACCGTTTTCCAGCTCGATATCATGCAGATCTTCTTCTAGATCGATGAAATAAAAGGTAGATTTTAGATATTCCATTCTCGGATTGCATCCACTAATCCAAGCCTTCAAATATCGATTCAATCCCATTTCGTCAAAAATGAAGCCTGACAAATCAATGTGGACACAATTAAAAGTGATTAAATTATCAATAGACATCCAACTGATTGATGGATCTCCTACGATACTAATATAGTCTGTTTTGATAGTTAGGTTGAGAGGTTTATATCAAAAACTGTGCTTGTTGAAACACTGAGACAGTGATTGACTTTGCAGTTGTTGATGACAACAGAAAGGCCATCCGACATCCACATCGTCCGTATTCTCCGAGCACTCGAACAAATGCCACGTGACGCCGTCTATCGCACGTACACTGAAGATGTGAGTGATTGGAAGAAGATGGAAAGGGAGAAATACTTTTATTATGTTTGATAGTAAAGTAGCGCTTGGCTCATGTTCAAGCTGAGAACGACATCAAGAAGCTTTAAGAGAAAGTTAGAATGGGACAAATCAAATTAAAGTGAAACACCTATGAACCATTTTGTTCTTAACACTAACCACTGTACACCGTCACGTCAGAATGCATACCTTAAATCCAAAAAACTTCTGAAAAATCACTTGTCTACTCCTCTTTAAAAAATTAGTTTTCCTCTGAACCACAATTATTTTCATTGAATAAATATTGGTTCTTATTTTTTGGAAATTTTTTGATAATGCTCACACTTATTGTCACTCTAACTCACAACGAAAACAGGAAGATAATAAGGAAACCTTCCAACTTGAAAAACCTTTTAAAACTGTTGAAACGGAAGAAGTGTCTTAACTCAATATATCACTTGTCAGCAGAAATTATCGATGTATCTGTAAGAGGTACCAAAAACCACATTTTTCCCATTTTGTTAATTGATTACTGTCTGATATTTTTACGAGAAACGAGATACATTGAACCAAAGTAAAGGAGCCCTTCTAATACAGGTTTTACAGTATTTTAAAACTTTTGAATATTTTGAATCGTTTTTCGAATTCCCACCAAAACTTAACTCAAGTTTCCAAATCCTTTCAAGAAATTAAAGAAACATGTAAAAAAGAACATGGTAATCTTCATTCTCCACGAAATCATATGTGACTCCGGCCTTTTCGAACCATTCCAGTATCACATCGTGCGCACTGAAGCCTTAGACGTCACTTGAAACCTATGCTTGCGCTGAAACAGTGCTTTTTCATCCCTCAATTGAACTCTGTCGCGGAAATATGTCACTATTCCACGACCTCAGTTACGTAAACCTCAAACTCCTACTCATCATTCAAATAGAAAAAAGATTTATAAACGAGACGACCTCAGACCATAAAAACCCCTTATCAATTAAAAGATCTGCCCTGACATTCTACGTGGAACCCGAGGGAGTGATCTACGTGGAACCCGAGGGAATTTGCTATAAAAGGGAATGGACTTGCCATAATAATCAGTATTCGTCCTCTGCTCCTTAGAAGCCTCCGAAGCCTCCAATTGATCTACTCCGCCGTCCAAAATGTCTTTGGATCCCAACCCTCTGCTCTTCCGGCCGTGCCACCGACAAATGCGCCACCAACATCCAACATGGAACACTCCGGATTGGAAGCGTCAAATGTCAGCAAACCGAAGGGAACTGGTCAGTAACCTCTCATTGTCTCAATAAATTCTTCTTTCTGAACTGTTTGTACTTTGCTCTAATTCGCTCTCAAAGGTCTACAAAGACTTTGTGTAGCGACAAACTCTAACTACAGTAGTTGAACTACTACTACATCCGCCAGTGCCTCGTGATAAAAAATACTCCAAAAACGTCGTCACTCTTTCTGGATGTTTGTGAAAATGATGCCATCTCGTAAAACAGCCCCTCCAAGAGCTCATTTGTGCTCCCTCCCCAACAATGACTACTTTTCGTTGGTGTTGGAAATTGCTCATCCGGTGTGTTTCGTGACTTGTCTTCGTTTATTTCTTCCTCTTGCATCTTCTTCTTCTTCTTTTTCCTTCAATACAATGACATGATAATTGGGAGTAAAGTGTGAGAAATCTTATTTTTTGCATACACGTCATGTGAGGAAACAGAAAAGAGAAATCCCCAAAAGTGGGCGGAGCATGTAGTAGAAAAGCATGGGGAGGAAGACGCTGAAGAAGAAGAAGAAGGCGATGATTTTTGTGATGATTTTACACTTGGCTGAATTTGAAAAGAATCGAAATCGAAGAAGACGAAGAAGAGTTTCGAGACAAGGGAGCATCTTTTCTATGTTATTCGTAAAGTATTCGAATTCTGAGGAGTTTGGTTCTTTTTTTTGAATTTTTCCGTTTCTTTTTCTTCAATTGGAAACTACCGTAACTGTTTCATTATTGGGTACTACGATGGTTTAAAAAAATAGTTACTGACACATCGGATAGAATACCCTGCTGTTTGTAACTGTAATAACAGAAGTCGATAAAACAGAAAACAGAAAAAATATTTCCATTTCTCAACTTTTCGAAATTTTCGAGCCATCTAGTAAATCTGTATTTTGAAACGGCATGGAAATTTGAAATAAAGTGGGAATTTCAAAGAAAATCAGTCCAAAAAACAGAAAACTTTCAAAGAAACGATGATCAAACGCTTTGAAAAATTTGTTTTTACTTTTTTACTGCCTGGAACAGCTTTTTTTCAAGTTACTGTCGGTATTTTAAAACTGACACCTGCGTGTTTGCGGACTCAGTGCAAATCACTTTAATTTTTGTACTGAGTCTGCAAACACGAGGTGTCCGTTTTTTAAATTCGACAATATTAAACTTTCGTGATTTTTCCACATTTGGCGATTTTCAAATTTATTTTTACCATTCTGAAACCTAAAAGGATTCGAACAGTCAATTCAGGTTTTGGCAGGAATTCGAAAACTTTCCAAACGTTTTAGAATACCGTGAAAATTTGTATTAGAAGGTTACCCCACAACTTTGAGTCAATTTATCTAGATTCTTTTGGAAGATATCAAAAAGTAGTCAATTGACAAAATACTTCTGATATTATGATAAACATTTTGTCAGTTGACTACTTTTTGATATCTCTCACAGGAACTTTGATATATTCTTTCAAACTTGACTTATACATTGAATGAAAAATCAGGTCATTGGCAAAATTTTTTTCCGTTTCATGAGTTTCTTAAATTTGAATATTTCCATAATAATTAATAAATTAATTCTGCATTATAATTAATTCTGCTAACCAACCCCCATTAGCTTTTTTAGGAAATTTCAGAATGTTTCAAAAAAGAATATGACCCCATATTTATTTTATAAAATACATTTTTGTTGGTTTAGAGTTCAAAAAACTAGCTTTTAAGTATGACTTTTTGGGCTTTCGGGCTATTATAATTTTTTTAACTTCAATTTTTGAGGATTTTCCACACTTAAATAATAGTTTTTGGGGCGAAATCTTAGTATGAGAGACCTAAAGTATCGAACTCGTTCAAACCTTTATACCTCAAACCCGCTAAGCTTAGTAACTTTTAATCAAGACAAAGTAGAAAATACATTGTTTTCGAAACAGCAAAAACTTGAAAACATGGTCATTTCTGGAATTGGCTTCTTTTCGACAGATTAACAGAAACACTTTTTTCTGGAACCTCTCTCGCCTCGAGATTCTGAAGCATCGTCGTATCTATCGGAAGGTGAAGTCATTTCCCAGAACCTCAAAGGTCAATTTCTATTTATTTTCTTTTGTCGAGAATTCCCCTTTATCTAAATTTGTGATCTCAATTTCTTCAGAAACCTTCATTGTTTTTATTTTCCTTTTTCTTCTGCTCACGAATTTCAGATTCTGGATGCCAGATTCCAGAAGGAAACTCACTCTCTGGGAGGTAGTTGCGTCATTGTTTATTTGTTTAATAGGAGGATAAATATATTTATGAGTTGGTTAAAAATGAAGAGCAGTTTCTTGTTTGCTTTTCAGATAGTTTTTTTTGAAATTTTTTTTCTGGTTTTTTGTGATTTTGAGAAAATATTCTGACTTTTCATTTAAATATAGTTTGATTTATACCGATTGATCTAATAACTTGAAATTAATAACATATTTCATGAAAAATCGACGAAACAGACGAAACATTTTTAGTTCAAAAATCATTTCCATTTAACTCGGTTCCTGTAAAAGACATCAAAAAGTGCCAAACTGAAAAATGTTAATTATATTATCAAAAATATTTTGTCAGTCAACCACTTTTTGATATCTTTCACAGGAATCGAGATAAATTGGATCAAAGTTAAAAGCTAGGGGTCATTTAAATAATTTTTATGGTGGTTAATACATGAAACTCTTATCAAATCTCCAAATTTATGAGAATTTTATGAAAACTCAATAAAGCAAAAAACAATTTTTTAGAGAGTTAATCGTTCATCGATACTGTAACACCAATTGTTATCTTTAAATATGAAATAAAAGAGCCAAACTTGATCCAATTCATCTAGTTTCCTGTGAAAGATGTTATGAATCGATCAACTGACAAAGTGCTTTTGGTATTATGATAAACATTTTATCAGTTGACCACTTTTTTATATCTTTCATAGGAACCGAGATAGATTATGTCAAACTTGACTTTTATATTGAATTCAGAGAAGTTCGCATTTTTTCAGTTTTATCTGTTGTATAGGTTTTATAAGTTTGAATATCTTCTCATTGGAACTTTGAGTCAGAGTGGAGAAATATGAGATTTTTCAGAAAGTTTCAGATCCAATATTATCAAAAATGTTCTTGGCCACTTTTTGATATCTTTCAACACGGCCAAGAAAAATAAGGTCCTTGGATTCCCCTTATCATAATCTTCGACACTACCGCAACGTGGTGCACATAATCCGTTCCTCCTGACTTTGATCACTTTCTAGATGTTACTATTATTAACATCCAATGTGAAATATTGAAAACAAATATCTTATGATAGTCGTCGGATTAGTTCTTAATGCTTCTATTGTATATTTTTTGTAATAATCGTCAAATATCACCTAGACATTATGTGGCGTTGTTTTTAATAATAAAAGCAAAGCAAGCAGTCGATAACCAGGAACGGAAACGGAGCAATATTTTCTAGAATTTTCTAAGTTTGATGTTGACTCCTCGAAACATTGAAGTTTTGAAATAGTTTCTTGATTTTTTTAATCACAAAACCAGAATTTCCGAGACACTAGCAAAACTGCAATATGAAGAGGGACAGTTTTCTTCTATTTTCTAAGTTCATGAAACCGAAAAAAATTATAAGCTAGTCAAAGCCTTCAGACGACACTTTGGTAAATCTGAAAAAAACGAAGCATTCTAAAATTTTGCTAAACTTATTGATTTGAAAATCAAAAAAATATGTCTGTAAGAAAGAAGATGATTCAAAGCGCGTCGAGAGTGAGGGACCTGTTAACGGCTCATTTGAAGGCGCAAGAGAGAGCTACCGTATCGTTTGAGCCTATTTTCAACATTACTTCCCTTTATTCTCAGATTTTCGACGATTTCTAGAGTTTAAATCGAAAGTAACTAAATTGAAATTACATATTTCTACAGTTTCATGAACTTTAAAAAACTGGAAACTCCCTATGCTCGCATCAATGTTGAATTGGAATTCTGGTATATTTTCCAAAAAAATTAGTAATCATATTTTTCTTCGGACTTCATGGTACTTATGAATAATGTATCTGTTGTGAAGGAAGTTTTTGGAAAGATTGAGAATCAAAAATAGTCTGCATATTTGGTTTTTCCAGAAGAAGTAACTTTTGATCTCATATGAAATTCTTGAGGAGAAAAAAAATCTAGTTCTTTAAATCCAGGGTTGTTTTCGGAAATTGGTTACCTACTTCGTATGAAATTAGATACTCCTGTGAAAATTTTACATGAAAATTTGAATTTCTAGTTAAGAATACTTTTACAGTTTCTTTGAGACATTAAGTTTCGCAAGTCTGAAAAACTTCAATAAACGGACTCCTCAGCTTACGCCAGTAGCTTTTTTCATTGAAATTGAATTTTTTCTGAATAACTTTAATTTTCCCTTCCAAAATCTTCTTACTCATGCTCATCTTCCTGATTCATTTTCTGCTTTGGACCCGCCAATTCCAGATTACCGGAAGAAAAAATAAAATTGAGTCATTCTCAATAACAAGAAGATTTGTGTTCCGAAAAGTCAGCGAATCTCTCACTATATTGTTTGTCTCCCCGTGACTTTCATTTCCAGATTTTCAGAACTTGAGGTGGTGGAAATCCGGTCACATCTCGGACCTTTTCCCTCTAATTAGGACGCCCCCGTATCTTTCTCCTCTTCTTATTCGTCCCCATTCATTTGAATCTTCTTATATTCCTTCTCATATTCCAACACACACGTTTCTTCTCAATTTTCAACAAATTCTGTCCCTTCTTTTTCTTTTCATTCATCCCTTATGTATATTCAAGACCCCTTATTTTCATCCAGATGGACACTATACTCTTTGTCTCTCTGGCTCGATTTCCATACTAATAATCCACAGTGGGAAGAAAAAAAACTTGATTTAATAACTTCATGGAACTCCTTTTTTGAAATTTTTTAGGAAGAATTTTTCTTGGTTCATTGAACTAAACACGGATATTGGTTCAGAGAATTTTGAACACTAATTATATTATTCAGTTTACGGTACATAAATATTTATTCAGTTTACGGTACATAATTTCCTGTTTTTTTGAGTTATGAAGTATAATTTTTTTAAACAAAATTCACTTCGTAATTTTTTTCTCGAAAGCACTTTGTATTTTTCCATGATTTTCCACAAGTGCTCAGTTAGATCAAACCACTACAATTTTTAGAAAATTTGAATTCAAAATGAATCGAAAATGAGACTCTTGGTTTTTTCCACTGTTTTGCATTATTCATCTTGACAACCATCGGGAATAATAAGTACTAAAAGATTTGTCATTTTGTGTTTTAAGAGATCTTGTTTTTAGATTTTCCTTTTCTTCATGACTTTTGAAAAAAATGTTTCATGTTTATTTGAAAGTATGGAGAAAAAAAAGAAAAAAAAGCAATTCACGGAATGGAAATTTATCCATAAACTATTCTAAAAAGTTGCTAATTTTATGACACTGAAACTGGTTCCAAAAATTTTCGATGAATCTGAACATTCTAGAAAATAGCCCTTTTGTGTTTTTTTATTTCTAAATTTTTTGCCCCAGTATTCTTTGATTATCTTATTTTCTGGTCTAGACGAATTCACATAATTTGTCGTGAGAAAAGTAATTTCGTCAACAACTGACTAGTTTGGATTACAACATTAGAATTCGCGAGAATTCTATACGATTCATGGGAACACGAATTTCCTGAAATTTCTGTTTCACTTCATTTTCATGTGGATAAAGTTTTAGCAATATGTTGATTGAACATTAATTGGCGCAAACCGTATTCCCTGTGATAAAACGCCTCCAACCTCATATCGGAAACTTGAGCTCAATTATCTCGGTTCCCAAAAGAGAAATCAAAAATCTGCCAACTGAGATTTTTTTTTCATAATATCACCAACACTGTTATCGTTTATCAATTTTCGATGTCTCTTACAGAAATTGAGATATTTGAGTCTAAAATAGAAGTATTGGTTGCGTTTCTTTCAGAGAATTTAATATGAGACTGCTTCACCGACTTCTCAATATTTCTGTTTTATTTACTTTCGAAATTTCACCTTTTCTAATCATTCTAATCGCTTGTCACCATAGTTTACTATTCAAATAACCAATAGACTTTTTTACAGAGAGGCAATCAATTGGGTTCAGCAGTTCTACTGAAAAAATGCCACGTGTCAGCTCTCTGATTGTGTTTTTTACCTTCATGGTGACCCTTTTCGCTGTCAGTCATGCAGCCGGAGTCTCCGGTTATGATAACATTTATCAAGTTTTGGCTCCGAGGTTTGTATTATGTGGGAAAACTAGATAGGGAGGAATTGAGAAGATTGAATGGTGGTCTGGGGAACAGTAAATTGAAAATACTTGAATTTAAAAATTCTTTTGTTGTTTCAAGAAAGCCATTTTCGAGAACAGTAGGCTTTGACAGCATTGGGTACAACACTACTGTACGATATGAAAAAAAAAGGAATTTATGATTTAAAGGTGGTGTATGCTTAATTAGTGCAATCAATTAAACTCAATTAATTTAAAAACTCTGAATTTTTTATGAAAATTTAATGTAAAATTGCATAAAACCAGAAAAAATCGAAAAACGAGATCTTCCTAGTGGTATACGGTTGAAGAAAAGATTTCTAGTCGCTAACCACGGTTAACCGAGATTTCAAATCTAGTTTTATTCAGATTTTTTCCAGCCTGTTTTTTGGAAAATTTTCACTTTTTTTGAGACCAAAAAAAATTAAAAATCAAGGAAATTCAAAGCAAATATCCGAGAATCGAATAAAATTCAACTCGAGGACTAGAAATCTTCCTTTTCCAACTTATTTCGCTTTTGAAACAGGTCATGTTTTCTGGTTTTTGTTTTAAAAAATTACACAGAGTAGAGGGAATTATGGGAGATTGGATGATAGCCAACTATACAGTCTCTGAAACAGCAAATTTGAAATAGATTTAATGAAATTTGTAAGATACCAGAAAATCTAATGCGGTTTCAAGAATGCATGCTCAGCAATGGTAGACTTTCAAACATCTTATGATATAATAGTAATTTCAATACGACTTACTATAGGATTAGCAATAAAAGTTAGAACAAATGCTTAACATCAACATGAAACAGTATTCATTTTTCTCTGAAATTCCAGATTCCGACGTGCTCGTTTGATGAGTTTCGACGGTGAAGCTCCTCAATACCTTCAACACTTGCTTCAGAATCTGAAACCGCGCTTCCGAAGATCTGTTTGATGCATTGCACTACACCAGAGAAGACGATGAACTACTAAATTATCTGAAATTATCTTTTTCATTTTCTTTTAAAACATTTGTGTGTTGTTCGTGACCTAATTCTTCTTCCTTTTCTTCCTCTCCTCAGTCGACTTCTACTTCTATTTTTCTTCGGTTTCTCACACTTTTCATCAGAGTCTTCGGCGCGAAAAATTGACCCATCTTCTTGAAAAATGAATAAATACATCTGATTGTTGTTTACGCTATAATATATGTGAAAAGCAGTTACCCATCATTGCCCGAATAAATGAAAAGAGTACGAATAAAATAAAAACAACAAAATGAAACAGTTAGATTTTAAAAAAACTAATTTTCGAATTTTCGCTGCAACGAAAATCAGAGAATCAAGTAAGCATAACTAGCAGGTTTAAAGTTAGATATTATTGTTTTCCGAAAAAATTAGACTTGAGTCGCAGAGAGTTAATCAAAAAATCTCTCTGCGTCTCCACCGAATATGCGCTATTTAGGCTTGCCGCTTCGAGATACCTACCGTATACAGGCTGCAAAAAATACACTCCAACTCTAAAATGTACATCCTGGAACAGCAAAAAATTGTTTTCTGAGCATTATATATCTTTATAGTTCAATAATTGCTAAGAAATGTCGCGAATTCAGGTGACCGAATATCACCTCTTCACGACTTTTTCTCCTTTTCAATGAATTCTTCTTTTATTCCCTGTATTTTATGTAATTATATTCACCAACGCCGACGCCGCCCACAACAATGCCGATTTGAATCACCCGCCAATTTGAGGATTACTGTACCCTGCACATCTAACTCTAAACGCGAACCAAGGAAATGCGCCCGTTTTTGGGATCAATTTAGACTCTTCAGTCATTCTCGTTTCTCCCCCAAAACCCATGTTTCTCGTTCCTATTTTTACCTATATTTTATATAATATTATTCTGGTGTATTCTTGTCGGCAGAGATGATTCTGGCAACAGAATCGTTTCCGTTGTAGGCAAAGTTAGGTCAATAAATTCGGTGTGTCTTAAATTCTGTGTTCCTGTTGTCTTTTCTCTCTTTTAAGGTTTGTTGTGTCTCTAGGGCTGTTTTAGAGCAGTATGACTGCAAAATAAGAAATGAATGCTCTGAAATGTGCATTTTGGAACAGCAATTTTTTTATTCGAAAGTTTCTCTCTGGATTTTCATAACCATAACTAGGGTTGGCAACGGGGCTCCCGCTTTTACGCGGGAGCCCCGAAAGCGGGGCGGAGATTCGCCCCCGCCCCAGAGAGCGGGGCGGGGATTCGCCCCCGCCCCGCCTGTCGAAAAACAACTTTGTTTAAAGAATCAGTAACCGAATTTTTTAGATTATTTTACGATTCAGGGTACCCAATTAGGCTACCCTGAACTTTCAAGTCAATTGGTTCAGTTACGCGCAATTACGCAAAGTATACCGCCTCCCGGGGGCGGGGATCGCCCCTTTTCGCCCCCAAGCCAACCCTAACCATAACAATGGTTACCAATTTCTGCTGCATCAAATTCAAGACCAATTGATACAATGTTCAGATAACAAAAAATAAATACAAATTGATACAATTCAAGTGAGAGATGGGGGCAGGGGCGGATGAGATGAGGATTACGATAAGTGTCATTAAAAAAGAAATGAAATGTGAAAGAAAGAATCAAACAGCAGCAGCACGAGCGATATGACCGGCCAGTCGTTTACTGTAGCCGTGGAGATGCTGAATAAAAATGATTTTCGCGACTACCAGTGAATTTTTTTCAAACAATTGATAAAAAAACTGATATCTAAAATAATGTTAGGAAAAGTGGGTCTAAACCAGACTGACTTTTTCCAAGTGTCCACAAATAATCGAACAAGATCAAAATCAAGGTACAAATGGAAAAAAGCTAAAACAAAAATTAGGCAACACTTTTTCGTCAATAGGGCGCTTAGTAAAATGATTTAGTTACTGTTGAGCAATTGCTCAAGGCCCTACTCTCTGTCCTTTATTCTATGTATTATTCTATGTTCATTTATGCTAGACATGTCTTATTCTCCTCTCCCTATTTCTTTTTAATGGTCACTCTAGTTCTAGTTCATTCTATTATTTTACATTTCCTCTCACTAGAATTCATTATTTATCCATTTGGAATCTGCTTATCATGTATTTTAATGTATTTTAATGTTTTTTTTCCTTTTTTTTCCACGATTCTTGCAATCGTAAATAAATAAATAAATAAGTAAATAAAATGTAATACTCATGCTAACTCTGAAACGGGATCCAAGATATTTTCCTGACATCCCCTACACTATCACTTTGAGCTCAAATATCTCAATTTCAGTAAGAGATATCAAAAGTCAGTCAATTGATAAAATGTTTGTTACTATATCACCAATATTTTATAGATTGGCGGCTTTTTTATATCTGCCACAGGAACCGATAGAATTGAGCTCAAAGTTGACAATTGGGTTGGTTTCTATTAAAGGAAATACAGTAACTGGCTCAAAGTAAAAGTCGTGAAATTTTTACAGTTTCCGTAAGGCCTCTTCTTGTTTTGAAGTTTAGTTTGAACATTGGATTGATCGCCGGTGTTTGCAAAATAAATAAAAAATCTTCACCTGAATCATGGAAGACGCTCTCATTTCATCTCGATGTGGAGACACTGGCTGTGTTAAACCGGACCATCCTTTTTCGTCGCGAAGCTTCACAAAGCTTCCAGGTTCACGAGCTTCAATAATATCGTAATCTGGATCTATATGGTTTCTTCCACTGGTTTTTAGAAGAAGCTCGTTGTTGTTAATTGAGTTATGGGCGGCGCGGTGTTTGAAATAGGCTTCCAGAAGATTGTTCGGTCGTGATTCAACACCTGAAAATTTGAATTGTGGGAATACAAGTGGGGTCCCAATATTTTGAAAAATCCTTCAGAAAACATGAAACCGTAACGTTTGTGGATTGCAAAGAAAGTGTCAAATAACTGCAAATTTGTGTAGAATTGCAGTTTTTAATATTTCAAATGATTTTTGAACTCTCCAAAATGGAGCGGTAGTTTTGTAGTTGATAACTTTTTTTACGAATTCATTCAAATCTGAATGAAATCCATAGAGCGCCAAATCATAGCACTTTTAGAAGGTATATCTCATTTGGATGATTTTTTAACAATAAAGTTGTCAACTACAAAATTGAAGCTCTATTTATGTTTAGTGGACCTGAAAATTTTCATTCTTATCTAACAATATCTTCTATATTTCTTAGACATCCAAAGTCAGTCATTTAAAATCAATATTGGTGAAATCCATTTTGAGAAAAAATCTGCACAAACCGAAAGTTTTGTATGGTTTTGCTAATCCTCATGTTAGCGTATCCTCATGTTAGCATCTATCCTCATGTTAGCGATAAAATCAAAAATTAACTGAAACCATATAGAATAAAAAATTTGGCTCCGCGTCACTTCGAAACCGCGACGTTTCGAAACTGGTCATTTCGAAACTACGTGACGCTTCGAAACCAGTCATTTCGAAACCGCTCGTTTCAAAACCGAAAAAAAACACGGTCACGTGAAAATGAAAATAACAATTGGAAAATTTCAGTCTTAAAATTGAAGAAAAAAATTGCAGCGTGCAAATTTCGCAGTTTCGAAATGACTGGTTTCGAAGTGTCGCGGTTTCGAAACGACTGGTTTCGAAATGACCGGTTTCGAAATGACCGGTTTCGAAGTGTCGCGGTTTCGAAGTGACGCGGAGCCAAAAATTTTCAAATGTTTCAAACGGTTTTTTTTTGAAATTTCCGCCAAACCATTTGGCAATCCCAGTTTCTTTACTTTGAATTAACAGAATTTGATAAATCAGGGTATTTTGATCGTCCTGACCAATCTGGACTTATTAAACTGGAATATAAGTTCAAACATTCAAAAACTGTCTGTAACAGCATTTTTATGTTCTTTTTTACTAAACCGGCAAAAAAATTAAGCATTCGGAGTTTACGGTAATAGATAAATCCGAACTCACCGATAATTAACAAGACGATCAAGTGGAAGGCAATAACAAAAATAGAATTCCGCAACATTTTCAGATTGTTTTTCAGACTAAAAATAGTTTGCGAATGTTCTTCTCCTCGAGGTGGTCACTTTTCTGGCCAATCAGGGTGATTAAAAAAAGCAAAGAATGCAGAAAATATCACGAGACGAAGAACCGGTAATACAAGCAATAGGGGGATGATCAGAAGGAAGATATCAACAACTTTTCAAAGTCGATTCTCTCTCTTCCCTTATATACGGTAGCCAGAGAGATCAGATGACGCAGAGAAATTGGTTGATGGGTGCGTCCTTCGGTTTTCTGGTATTTTGATTTTCAGACAAGACAAAATACGATTCCGAGAGAAAAGAGAAAGTGGTCAATGGTGGGTACTTTGATCAAGAGGTTATAGTGTTATTTGTGTATTTTTTAGAGATCAAAGGGTTCACGAATAGTGATTACACTATTTGATCCCATGGGATGGATCAGGGGATAGTTTCATGGTGGTCTATAGTGTTTCTAGAAGGTTCTAGAAAGGTTTTAGACCAATAAATTGCTTTTGAAGAGACTAAAACGCGCCGAAGGCGCGCCAACAAACCTACTTATGATTTGTTTTTAATTGTTAATATTTACTGTTTCAAAGGCATATTTTGTCATCCAGAAAGTTTACATTTTAATGCGAAATTTTTTCGAATTTCTTTCTTTTTGTTTTCCTAATAACTGAATGTTTTATCACTTTACTTCCGTTTTACAAAGTTGTACAAAAAGAAATCGATCTATCGAACTTTTCTTCTTTTTATCTTCTGTCATTGAATTGATTTTTCTCACTATCAGGTGAGAGATACATAGGCCAAAAATAGGTTGAGTACAAAATATTACAAACATTAAGAATCAGAAATTCGAATGATAATGGGTCTATTAATCTTATGGAGTGAAAAGTGGATTTCGAAATACTGTTTCATGACTCGAGAGTTTACTATTTTTCACTGAAAACAAATGAGAAAAGATATATAATTTGTCCACTGAACATCTTAAAATATGATATACCTGTTGGACCACCAAGCAACGTTTTTAGAAGACTGGTTGAAATTTAAAGCATACAAGACTCAAAAAAAAAAATGTTCCAAATATTTTGCCTAGGGCAATTAGAAGGTTCAGGAAACAGTAATTTCAAAAACCCCACACTTTCGAGGGTTGCAGAAAATCTTTTGCTGATTCAAGAATACATTTTTTGAAACAGTAGACTTTGGCAACATTGGGTGGGAGTACGATGAATTCGAACTTTCTCGAAATCGAACTGTCCCTTTTTCGAACACGCCCAGAACAGAACAAGAACAGAATCGAACTGCTATAAATTCGAACTGTGCGGTGTCGAACTGTCCCGGATTGGAACTCTGTTAGCAACAGGGCGCGCTTGCTTTTTTTAAATTATTTTTGTCAACAAATTTTGCATGTTTTCTCCAGAAACGAACTTTTTTCACTTATTTCGGATATTTTGCGGATTTCTCTTCCCGTTTCGAGAATATAAACTTTTACAGAAAATGGCTCCTCGTAAAAACAAGCCGATCGTATAAGTTCAAGGATATGCAATGCGATTCAAAAAAAAGAACGAAAATGGAACAGAGCTTTTTTACTGTGTCGAGCGGTAAAAAATTGCAGCATTACTATAAAACAATATTTTTCCAGAGAAAGACGAGCTCGATGTGATGCAGCTTATCTTTTCGACAGAAGGAACAACACGTTCACTGTTAAGAAGCAACATGTGAGACATGACGAGGATTTTGACAGAAGTGAAGTTAGTATCAATCGATAGAATGTAACAGAATAGTCGTCACAGCAAACGATTTTTCTTCAGGCATTCCTCGTGCGCCAGGAATTGAAAAAATATGCGAATGACGGAAAACCCCGCGAAGTGGTTGATGATGTTAGAGCCAAGTTCTCTGTAGTTGCTTCAGTTGCTTGCGGTTAGTACACAACATCATAAAGTGTCTTATAAACAATTACATATTTTTAATAGGATCCTATGACGCAAAGCGAAAAATCATTGACACTGCGAAAGGAAGAAAAGAAGACGATGTTATTGAGATGGATAAGGGTGGAAGCATTGCAAACGAGTTCTCACAAACTAAAGGTAAACACAAAGTTTTGACATTTGAAAAATTCAATTTCAGATGGACAGAGATTTCTAGTAAAAGATGAGCAGTTTCAAACAGCAACTGGCTCATCACGGATTCTTGTATTTGCTTCAGATGTCGGTCTTGAGTTGCTTGCTAATTCGGATACGGTTTTTTTGCGACGGCACCTTTGATTGTGTTCCGGCACCATTCGCTCAACTCTTCACACTACACGCATACGTGTGTACCGTCTTGTTCTTATCATGTAAAACATTCAGTTGCAGGTATCTCCGACTGTCGTTCGCCCAGTTATTTTTTCCCTTCTAACGGACAAACAAACATCGACTTATAAAGCTGTGTTGAAAATTGTGCTAGAAAGCCACCCGTCACTGACTCAATGGAAACCTGCTACAGTCATTTGTGGTAAAACTGAACTGGAAATGCAACCGAATCCTATTTCATCTCGTGCAATCCTGGCGCAAGAAAGCTGAAAAGCTTCAGTGCTACAATGAATTCATCAGTGAGCCGAAGTAGTTTATGTACCCACTGAACCTTTTTTTCAGATGGAAATATACAGGATTTCTGGGTGAGAATAAAAGCAATACCATTCATCGTGCCGACCGAAACTAAAAATTTCTTTGATATAATCGTTTCAACAATTCCGACACCAATTCCTTCAAATGTTCAAAGTAAATTTTCAATTATTGCTTTCACTGATAAGAAAAAATCAATTTTCAGCTTTCATCGATTACTTGATCAAGTATTATATGGAGGACACCGTTCGATATCCGCCCAAAATGTGGAGTTGCGCGGACCGAACGATGAATGGGATACATCGAACAACAAATGTAGTCGAGTCGTGGCACAAACTATTATCGGTAAAACTGTTTTTAAAATAGCATTTTCCTAAAAAAAATATCATTTACAGAGTGTTCGATCCCAAAAAAACGGTCTCGCGCCACTCATGCTGTCAGATATATTGGTGAAACTGAAATTGGAGGAGATGCATACAAAGATGGATTGGAATGAGTTGAAACTAAATCCGAATTTCCAGGTCTGTTTCTACACATGAACACCTAAATTGATTTTTTACTACATTCAGGTGAATCGAAACAGAAAGCTCACCAATGCATTGAAGGACGGGAGACTCATCAAGACGCTAATAAATCAGCCAATCCCGCCAAATATGCCTTTGATTGGTCTCAATTTATTAGACGCCATCTCCGACACCCATTCTGTTTAAAAGTCATGAATTCTTTCTTTTTTAACACATTTTTGCTATTTTCAAATTGTTTTTTCCTCACTGTATTCAAATAAAAATGCTTTTTTTGTTGTAAAAATGATTTTTTTTGCTGGAGAAAACTTGAAATTTTCAAAGGTAATGCAAGCGCGCTCTGTTGCTAACAGAGTTCCAATTCGGGACAGTTCGACACCGAATCAGTTCGAGTTGGAACAGTTCGATTCCGTTCTTGTTCTGTTCTGGGCGTGTTCGAAAAAGGGACAGTTCTAATTCGAACGAGTTCGATTTCGGGACAGTTCGATTTCGAGAAAGTTCGAATTCATAGTACTCCCCATTGGGTATACGTGTAGCGTCCAATTTAAAGTTATGTACACTGATATTTTAAAATTCCTAACTGTTGTAATAACTCAGAATTTTCATAACATGTTAACGAACACAAAAAACGAGATTTTTGAAAAGTGGTATCCGGTGGAAGAGAAAATTTCTAGTCCGTTGAGCGGTTCGTTCGTTGAGTTCTATTATAGTTTCGTTAAGTACATTTTCCAGCCGTTTTTTTCGGAAGTTTTCAGTTTTGTTGCTTCTGAAAAAACGGAAAAAATGCCGAGTATCGAAAAATCCAGCCAGAGCCCGACAGCTGGAAGCCTGCTTCTTCCAACTCGTGGCACTTTTAAAACATCGCTTGTTTTCTGGTCTTCTATGTTTTCATCGGTGATCGACTGAAAATTGCATGGTAGACATTTATACAGTTTCTGAAACAGTAACTTCTAAATACATCAATAAAATTTGAAAGACACCAGAAAAACTTTTGATTTTTCAAAAATCCATTTTTGAAAACAATAAACTTTAAAAGCATTAAATAGGTGATATTCTTACAATAAAACGTTCAGGAGCTGTGGAAGCGAAGCGCCGGTGGTGGCCAAAGTTCCCAAAATGACAACTACCGTAACCAAAAAAATTATTTTTGTTTTCTTGTACTTTTCATAACTCACCCAAAAGCAGCAAAAAAAATATATTTTCGGAAAATGAACATAATTTGAAGCTACGGTAGATTTTGATGTGGGACCTTTGACCACAGCTTCTTTTTTTTAATTTGTACCAGACAACTTTCTTTAAATTTGTAGCTTTGAAGGTATATGCTCGACAAGTAAGAAAATATCAATAATCTATTTTTATTACAAACTTGAAGCAATCATTGAATAGGAATCAGTAGAAATACTTCAGGAGTCTGAAGTTGGACAGAAGGGGAATGTTAGGGGAGATTAACGGAGATCGTAAAGTTTGCTAACAATAAAATTTTTCTGTGAATGAAAATATTCTGCGAAAAGCAAAAAGAGAGACAGAACATGGGAAAAATGAAACCGTGATAATTTGGGAGATGAATTATAATTGAATTTTCATATATAATCTTAAAAGTTTCTTTTTTAATTTATCAGTATATTGTTTCGAATTGATCGTTCAATAAACCATGTAGGCAAAATTAAATCAATACACCTCCACAATTTCAAACAGCCAACCACAACAAATGACTTCAAATGAAGTAGGCCACTTCAATCCAAGGGAAAATAGTTGTTCCAATGAACGTCACTTTATGAACTGTTAATGTCTCCTGTTTCTTGAGAGACGTACTTGAGATTCTGAGGTTCTGAGATACTGATGCTGAGATTCTTTGGAAATCCTACAAGAAAGTTGTCAACTACAAAATTGAAGCTCTAGTTTTGTTTAGTAAATCTGAAACGTTTCAGACTCTTTCAACCACATCTACTATTTTTTAAAAAACCAATTTTGACCTTTTTTAACTAAAAATAGGTTAAATTAATTTAACTTTAGCCGGTACTGTACATTAAATTCTGTTAATTCAACGACCAATTAAGATTTTTGACACAATCAAAACAAGAAAGTTCGCCTTTCATTTATTTTATAATTTCAACAAGAATCATTAATTTTTCGGTTTCATGCTTTCTATATTATTTTTCAAATAGCTAGACGACAGTGGATTCTTTGTAATCCATACATCCATTCAAATTTGAAGACATTGAATCTCGACCGAACTTCTTGCGATTTTCAGCCTAACAACAACTTGAAATTTAACTGAAACTTGAACTTTCGGTTTGTAAATAGATACCCCTAATCCTGAATTTTTGAGATTTCTAGATTTTTTTCTTATTTTCCAAACTTATAATTCACCGTCGAAATGGATTTTCTGTGCGGTCGTTCGAATTCTTCTGGAATTTTAGATTTGCATATTCAAAAGACCCTGTATGAAAATGCAGAATGATAATTTTTCACCTTCCAAATAAATAGTTTTCTGTTCCATATTTGTACCAAAAGTCCGCAGAAAAAACTCGAAATGCTTTTTCGCTCCATTTCGTATCCTAGCTACAACATGAGTCGCTACTCAGCCAATTTTTTCCTATTTTCGACAAAAAAATTTCGTGAAGCGAAACTTTTCAACATGATTAATGGCTTCTCTCGGGTTTCCCCTAGCAACAAGCTTTCTTTTTTTTCGCCGTTGTTTTTCGTATTTCGTAGTCTTTCACTTCTCGCTAATTATAGATCAAGACGAGACAGCACTAGCGATGAGGAGACGCAGACATCGAGGTGAGCCGAGATTTCAACTTTGAAACCGCTCATTTTGAACGAAAAAAAACGTCATTTTTCCTCCGATTTATTGCAATTTTTTCAAGACAACAACATCAATTTCCATTCAATCCAAAGAAGTTTAATATCACAGATAAAAGTTAAAAAAATTTAGATAAGAAAAAATCAGCCATCCTCGATCCATTCATTTTTTTTTTTGGTTTTTTTTGGGTTGATGACGTGGCACCATCCGGTCCCTAATCATCGTTCTTCTCCTCAGTGCACTCAGTTGGAGCTGGTCCGACTGGAGTCTCGTCGTAGTCCAAATCGGGACGTCCTGGATGAGTCTCCGGCTTCTCCTGGAATTTCAGTAATTAGGCTAATTAACGATTAATTAAGATGCTCACCTTCTCCGGAATTGGAACGCTGTCCTCGTCGTACTTGGTGTAGTCGACCTCCACATCGGGAACCTTCTCCTCAGAATCGCTCATCGTTGTATTCAAAAGCTCTCGTCGTCCGCAAGGCGGTGTTGAAGACAAGAATGAGCTCTCGAGGAGATGTGAGCCGGCGAGGCTAGGCCCCGCCCACTTTTTTCGGGGGAGCCATGGAAACAGAGCCTAAACAACGCGAGAAAGAGAAAACATGTGATTTGCTGGTCACAACGGATATATGGAGAAAAGAGAAATTTATGAGTCATACATAGAAAACATAAAAGAGAAAGAATACTGGAAAAATACAATAAATAGAACATTTTAAACATGAAAGAGTGTCTGAAAATGGATGGAGAAGTGGGCAATCAGAAAAGGAGAACACAACCTAATGGGGCATAGCGAAAATGGAAAACAAGTGCGAAAGAGAAAATTTGTAAGCAATTTTTTGAGAAAACGAAAAACCCGATTTCCTTAATTTCAGAAAGTTAGAACTGTAATTTTAAAAAAGATGGGAAAACCTATAAATTGATACTGTAAAACCGGACAAAAAACGATGAAAGAAACTCTGGTGATAACGAAAACAAAGGAAAAATTAAGAATTATATCCGGTGTCAGTAGTGCCCAGCCCACAGGTCTCCATACTTGAAATCGGCAAATGGACGGTCTCCATAGCCCTCTGGAATCACTCGGCGCATGTTGATCTTCTGGAAGAATTCCAGGCGATGGAAGTCTGGCTCCTGAAATAAAATTATCAATTTTTAATTTTTATTTCCAGTGGACTTGTGAATTTCATATTTTGTAGTTTGCAACTAGAACCTAGTTTTGTAAACTTGAGATCTTGCTGTTTTGGTAAACAAGTAGAGGTTGAGTAACAATTTAAAATTTGTCATTTTCGTTGAAATAACGCCTAATAACCTAAAAAACATCTCGAAAAGGAAGCACACTCCTCGTGCCGATCAACGAAACATGACATTTGCCGTTTTGATATTTATATTTTTTCAATTTCGAAATTTCTGCTATAACTGAAAATTTTTTCGAGAGATTCAAAGAGGAATAAAATGATAAATACCGTAAGTACTTTTATGGAAATTTCAAATTTTTCGTGTGCCTACAGGCAGACCACAGGCATACAGACTACATACAGGCAGGCAGACTCCGCCCACTCTACATACAAAACATAGCGGACCGCGGAACCCGGGAGGTGTCGGTACATGCTGCAAGTGACTATCCCGACGGACGCAATAATCGACGTTCTATTAAAACTATTCAGGGCCTTCATTAAGACCCGGTGTTCAATTTTTGGAGCCTTGTCGCTTGCGGCAAGGGAAAAGAAATGTATCGGAAAAGATATATTGAAATTATGTTTTTCTGGTACACAGGAAAATGGAGCTGTTTTTTTCAGTTCCTTGTTATTCTCTCACCAAAGGAGTCGCAAAATAACATATTTCAATAGTGAAAAACTAACTGAAAACGCAGTAAACCCGAGCCCTGAAAATATACACATTTTTCAGTTACGGCAGTTTTCGTTGCGGAATCTTCGACCACCAGCGTTTCTCTTTAACATGCCTGTTTTCTTTAAAATCAGAGAATACTTTCCATATTGAATACACTTTTACCCTGCCGCAAGCGACAGGGCTCCAAAAATTGTACACCGGGTCTTAAGTAAGGCCCTGAATGATTTTAATAGAACATCGAATAGGGCGGCCGGCGGGGTAGTCACTCGCCGCATGTACCGACACTTCCCGGGTTCCGCAGCCCGCTATGTTTTGTGTGTAGAGTGGGCGGAGTCTGCCCTCGACGCGTGAGAGACGATAGACGGTGAGAGGGAAAGCGTTTTGCCGAGGAAGAAAGGGAGGTGACAGACGTGAATTTCGGTTGGTTTTCGGTTGCAGAACATCACAATTTCGGATGTTTCAGCGAAAAATTGTTATCAGGATATCAAGAAAAGCTTATTATCACACGTTTTTGAGAAATTTTAGGTAGAATTTTTTCGGCGTTGCCAAATGACAGACTGGGAGAGTAATTAATAGAAAAGTGACAGATTGACAGACCAAATTCTATTCGGAATGTTCAAAATGTGTCAAACCCTTACCGAGTATGTCCCATCGGTGACTGGTGTAAGGGCGGCGTAAGAGCGTTCTGTATCGTTTCCATGAATGTGATAGGCGTTGAACTTGGACACTTCTGAAAATTAAATAAATTGGTTTCAGTGAAAAGTAGATTAAAAACATACTGGCTGGGAAATAGGCGAGTGGAATCTCAACTTCTCCTACCCAACGGTTGCCGACCCACTTGTTGCGTACTTCGAGTTCCAGTTCCTCTCCTAAAAATTAGAATATTAAACGAACCGGCTTATAATTCTGGCGTTACCATTATTGAATGCATGGCGAACTCCATCAAACAGCAGACAGAGCCAGTGTCCGTGTGGTCCGATTTCCACCTCAAGATACTGCCCCCGATCGTTTGCGAAGAAGAATTCGAGCACTTCATAGTCCCAGAGCTGGAAAATGCTGGTTTTATTTTAAACAGATTTTCGAAATATCGAGAGCAGACTCTGCTCAGCAGAGTAGCCACAGCTCGTATCAAGTTAAACAGTCTGAATCACACTTACCTGCGGTGTGATGCCTGGTGGGTCCATTGGCTCTGGGTCGTCGAAGAATGGGGCCTGAAAACCAAATTTTTAGAGTTTTTAGTTGAAAAATAGACAGCTTACGTCGAAGGAAATCTTGACTACACGCTTGTGTGGACGTCCAACGAGTCGCTCGAAGTGCCATTTCAGATCGATCTGGAAATCATGAAATTTTTCAGAAAACTATTTTTCTTCTAATTTTGAGTTTTTTACACACCTTGATAGCCTCATGAGAGACTGGAAGTCCGTCCCAAGTGTGATCGATGGTGTACTTGAGTCCGGCCATTGAGTTCATGGCCTCGGCCTTCTCAATATCGTCATGATCGGTCTGTACCATATTCCACATGATTGCGAGTTCTAAAAGAAGAAGGACGTTCATTTTTTAGTACGAATGATTGTCTACAAGAAACAAATTGCGATAAATAGAGATTAGGAGTGTAAAAGAGGAAGAAAATCACATCGGGGCGAGACGAATTGTTTGGGTGCGGAGGCGAAGAAGCGAGAAGAACTTGTCGTTGGAACAAATATATGCAATAAAAATAGATGATTGCATGTATAGGAGACAAATTTCCAACGATTAATCGAGAGTGATACAGTTTTTGACTAAAAATAATAATTCCTGAGAGTTTCATATAGTACACTGTAATTTACACACAAAAAAACATAATATTATTTTTATTTCTCTATTAAAAAACTAATATTAAACTCAAATTTATCTTTTTCAAGCTTTGAAATTCCAAAAATAGGCCTTCTCAAAAAAAAAATTTGCCACTCGAAATGTGCATTATTGCGTGGTGGTGGTTGCACAGATTGCACAAGATGTGACGACATTTCTCTGACGCTCTCTCCCGCTGACACACTGTTTCTTTTCCTTGCAACATTTTTTGCAGAATTTAACGGAAATTCGATTGCTTCCAAGTCATTAAAAGTACTTTTCAAACACTTTTTCAGTTTTTTATCAACCAAAAAAAATCGCATGAGTAGTGCCATGGTGGTCAGAAGTGTGTGTCACGAGAAAGAAAGAAACTGTGTGTTGAAAAGTGAGAATATAGTGAATAAAATGAAATAGCAAACAAATCAGCTGACCACCTCCCACTCCCAGTTTGCTTATCGCGCATTGTTTCGTTTTCACGCTTACAGAGAAATACCACAGAAATCGGAGATGCGCAGTGCTTTTCGGAATCGTGAAATGAGGATGTAAGAAGCTTCGGACGACGATCATTAGCTGCTGCTGCCCCGAGAAAAAAATCTCGATTTACAATAAAAATGAGTGGGAGGGAAAAAATAAACATGAATGAGAAAAAAAGTAGGCATGATGCCAAAATGTTTGTACCGAGAATGCACTCGACGAGAGGGCGAAAAAGGGAAAATACACAATAAAGTCGTGCTGCTGCCTTCGCAAACATTGAAACCCCAACAGGTGTTTCATTACAGATTCTATATATGTGTGTTTGGAATTAAAAACTAATAAATGAGTATAGTGGACGTTCAGAAAACAAGCAGATGCTTTTTAAGAATATGCATGTTTCGAAATTTTTCAACAACTCTATCCATGAGACTATTAGAGAAACAGAGAAAAACAACAAAGGAATAGTAAAAGAATGACGAAATATGAGGACACAGTGATATCATAAAAACACAGATGGTTTTTTGACATTTCTATCTAAATAGTTCACTTTGAAGGTCGAAGGTCAGTTTAGAGTCCTGACTAGTGAGGAATTGTCTATAAAAACTGAAAAAAACTTGAAAACGTTCTGAAAAGAAATAGATGCATTCAGATTAGAACGAAAAAAAATCTAAAATTACCGTAAACGCTCTAATGGAAGGTCACCCAAACCGTCACCTTTGAGTCTTTATATCTCGGTTCCTGTAAGATATAAAAAAGCGGCCAACTGACAAAATGTTACTGATAATATGATAAACATTTTGTTAGTTGACCAATGTTTGATACCTTCTACAAAAAGCAAGATAAATTGGCTCGAAGTTGAAAGTTTGAGTGGCTTTCTATAAGTGTTTACGGTATTATTCTGGTACAAAAAATCGGAGCTGTGGAAGAGAATAACCGGTGGCTATGACCGATGGTCCCACAACGAGAACACAAACCTACAGTAAACTGAAAATATTTTTATTTTCCGTATTCATTTGCTCGATTTTCGTGCGTTTTCAGTAAATTTTTATTAATTCACGAAATTGTTTATTTTCCGCCTTGCTTGGGGAAAAACAACTGACTGAAAACGCACGAAAATCGAAAAAATAGTTTCGGGAAACAAGAATATTTTTAGGTTACTGTAATTGTCATTGTGGAACCTTCGGCCACGGCCACCGGCGTTTCTCTTCCACAGCTATAATTTTTTTTGTACAGTCCCAACAACGAGCAGCGCTTGGAATGTCCTCTGCGAACTTTTATGGAAAGTACGAAACAGAAAATATGTGTTCAGAAAAAAATTGAAAAAATTTTATTCAAAACAAGAACACCGCGAAAATGGATCTGCATACATGAAAGTCCAGTTATTAATTATCAGAACAGTGAAAAAAATTCATCGAAATCTTTTATAATCATACAGTTCAAATAAGTAGCAGACAATCATCTAGCTCGGGTACAAATATTGTGATCTTGCTGAAAAATATATAAATTACGAAACTCTATAATAAGAAAACGTACGAATTTTCTTCTCCGATTTTTGCGACTTTTGTGACTTTGAAGATTTCAGCGATTTCCCATTTTCCTTCTTCTGACTAGTTGGGGCAGTATGGAATGATGATGAGTGGAAACTTGGCAATGCTTGAATCTCCAAAATCTCCGAATCCGTTTTTTTGACACCAGTCATTTTTGGATTTGTCACCGATCTGGCACTAGGGGTGCTTAGGGAGGCAGCAGAGATTATGACAGTTGGAGGGACTGAAATTACATAATTAAAAAACAATTTAAATTTTAAAATCGAATTGATATGCTTTATAAAAATCTTCAAATTTGAAATTTTTTGAAATTTCGATTTTTTTAAAATTATCTAAAAATTTTTGGGTCTCACTTTCAGTTGCTCTGGGCTCTTGATTCTTCTGAACGTAGTTATTATTGTTGAGAGAGTGCCCCGAGAAACTTTGGTTGGCTCCTCCATTTTTGACACTTGGAACAAATCGAGCACTTGAGATTTGTCCACCGGTTGCTGGACTCAAAATTACTGGTCCACCTTTTCTGAAATTGGATAAAATTTAAAGAAAAATGAATGGTTGACCTACACAAAAGGATCTGGCATATTCTTGACCATTTGTGCTTCGGATGGTGTGAATTTGGGCTTCTGACGCTCAATTGCCTTGTTCTGCTCGATGATGTTCTTAGACCAGCCACTAGAAGTTATGGGATACGGTAGTTGAAAATTTGAAAGTTTCAGTAAAAAATGTTCTAAAATTCAAGGAAATCAAAAAAAAATGAATTTCCGCTTTTTCCACAGAACTTTTATTCAGAATTTTTTTTTCAGAAATTTGAACTTTTTTGAAAATTAATTCGAACGATGTCATCACACACTCCGATTTCAGGAATGGAACAGAGTGGCCTATTTTTTTCAAAATGATTTTTCTAGGCCACTGTAAAAATTAGTCTAACATGCCCCTGATGTGTTTTGTAGAATATGTAACATGGTGGCCTAACTTTTGCAATTTGAGTTTTTTCGGCCACCCTTGCAAATGGTCTAGTAAATGCACCAAGTAAATTTCAGGTCATAACAAGGCCGTTTACCATGGTGGCCTAGAAATCTCAACATGCAAAAGTTAGGTCATTATGCTAAATTGGTTTGGCACAGTTAGGTATTCGAACAATATTTTTAACGGAAAATGTTTCTTGTGAAACACTTACTGAAACAGAGATATTCGAAAGATTGGCGCGAAAAAAATTTCAAAAAACTGTACTTACGGATAATGCGCTGTGCATCCGGGAGCCTTGAATCCAGAAGATTCCTTCTCCGACTTGCTGAATGGATCAGTCATCTGTTGAAGACTCTCCACTTCGCTTCGAGTGAAATATTTTGGGAATCCGTTGGTCTCACGGCAGAGAATCAGACTTTGCGATTTTTCAAATGGATCCGGAATGTTCTTGATCATCTTCAACTCGGAAGCAGTGTGACAGGCACCGGGTCTGGAAAAACAGGAGTTTTCATTTTAGCATGGTGGCCTAGAAAGCTCAAGTTGAGAAAGTTAGGCCAGCATGTTTCAATGGCCTAGGAACCAATAATTTACCCGGCAAACGGATCTGGTAGTTTCTCAAGAGCCGAAATCTCCGAACGGGTCCGATGATATTTTGGTGGATTTGGTGAAGCTGGTGGGATCACAACTGCTGACGGGGTCTTCTCGACAATTTTGGTTTTTGTAGGAATATGTAATCCGAAGGTTCCACTTGGAGAAACTGACAAATAGGACTTGGCCGCCGCTTCCTTATTTGGCAAATTTCGTTTCAAAGAGGATCGAATGAGGTAGAGAGAGTCAAAGGTAATGTCACTGATCACTAGAGATTGAAGAATGGTATTAATGGTTTCCTTCTCTGGTTGATTCGATTTAATCCATGAAATGAACATATTGATTAGTGGAATCTTCTTCTTCATTGGGAGAACCGAAGCCATCAAGGCGATAACCGAGTTGGCGGTTAGCTTTGAAATCTCCTTACTGCTCAATCCATTCACTTTTTCAGAGAAATCCAAAACCAATTCATTCATCGTGGCGTCCATGACAGAAAACGCTCGAACTGAAGCGATGTTGAGAGCCAAAATCGGTGATCCATTGTGGTTTCTGATCTTCTGTTCGATTTGATTTTGCAGGATTGTTACCTGGAATTTCAGAAATCAAAGGAAGTCTTTAAAAAGAGGCATACACGAAGGTATGATGCAACTGCAAGGACATCTGCAATGGAAGATTCTGGAATGTCGATGTCTCCAGAATACATCCAATCGAGAACCTTCTTCACACTGTATCCTTCAAATTCGGTCATCGGGATGTGAGAGTAGGGAGCTCGTTGTCGTTCGAGAATCTGAAAATTAGAAGATATATCCTCAGATTTCTACAGTAATTCTGCTTTTTGTACAGCAATCCTTCCTTTTCTACAGTAATCTATCTACAGATTTTCACATTGATTCATCTAGTGATTTCCACAGTAATCCATCTACAAACTTCTACAGTAATTCATCTACAGTTTTCTACAGTAATCCAAATACAAGTTTTCACCCTACTTTTTAAAAATTATTTTCCAGATTTCTACAGTTGTGTATCTAAAGATTTCTACAGTAATCCTCCTTTTTTACAGTCGTCCTTTTTTTCTACTGTGATCTACAGTAATCCATCTACAGGTTTTCTACCGTAATCCATATACAGATTTTTGAAGTAATCCTTTTTCTACAGTAAGTCATCTACAGTAGTCCATCAGACTTCTACAGTAATTTGCCAGATTTCTACAGTAATCCTCACATCCGAAATAACCGAAGAATGAGCACAAACAACCATCGAATGAACCATCTCATAGCCATCCTTCAACTGAATCGTTAAATCACAAGTACTATTATCTCCAGCTCGTCGTTTTGCTTGTAAAACTTTGGCGATTCGCTCAAAATGGTTGGGTGCCGCGTTGGCATGAAGTGAGTTCCTAGAATTTGAATTTGTCTAGACATTCATAGTGAAACTTACGAGAAAGACATGTTGTTCTGCTGTTGATGCGATTTCCAAGGAATCGTTTTGTAAACTGATTGGGAAGTGTAAGGTTCGATGACAACTTACAGATCTAGAGGAGGGAGAAAACGTGGATGGGAAACTTGCGTGGTTTTCAGGGAAGAAATTTGAGAGCAGCGGAAAAAAAGTGGGGCACTGAAGTATGTCACCTGGATCAGATTCTAGATATCCTTTTTGCATAAAATTAAAAATGTTGATGTACTACCTATACATATTTTTCATGATTATATGAGAAATGTGAAACAGTAATTTTTTGTAATTCCACCAATTCGATTCCACCGAATTGAACGCTGCTTGCACTCAAAAATACATAAAAGCATACTTGTAACGGGCCGGGCTTTTCCCGAATTTCGGAAGCTCGGCCCGGCCCGGCCCGGCGGGCCTGTCATTCCACAAGTTTTGAAAATTTCAAAAAACGAAAAAAATCGTATAAGGGGGACCCTTATGTGATTTTTTTCGAGTTTTTTTGATATTTTTTGACCAAACAGACAAACAATCCAAAAAGCACAAAAAATATAAAAAATTGTATTGAGAGCTCAAAATTCGGTTCAAAATGACAAAATTTTTGCTACCGGGACTTCCGGGCCGGGCCCGGGCCTTGAAATTTTCCTCAGGCCCGGCCCGGGCTTTGGTGGGCCGGCCCGGAATTTTACAAGTATGCATAAAAGGCAATTTCCTCCCGACGATTCTCTGTTTCAACGAATATCCAGACACCCCGTCGCTCGAAAAATGCGTAGAAAGAAGTATTGATTGTTCGGAAGAAGCTGCAAGAGTCACTTCGAAGTCAGAAGATTTAAAACCATTTTTAAAAATCAGAAATATTGATTTTTCAGCATCAAAAATAGTGTCGAGTCAAATGAAGGGCAGAATCTGATGAAAAAGGCAAGAAAAGCATTTCCGATGTTAAATAAAGTGAGAATTTTGTCTAAAAGTCGGCTGAACTTAAAACATTTCCAGACACCTAACGGAATTATCAAAAAGAAAGCTAAATAAGGCACCGAAAGAACAGCTGTGCGGATTGAAGTCGTTGAAGAGCCAAGAAGCTTGCCAACCTTGTCGTCGTTCTTAATTCTTTTTTCTCTATTTTTTCTAGTTTGCTGGCTAATAAATTATTTTTTTCAATCAATTTTCAGCTTTTTTCAAAGATTTTTTCGAAATTCGAAACTCGCGCTAGTTTGAAACTTGCAAGCGCGCTCTGCCGCACACTGAAAAGCGCCCGCATTTTCAATTTTCGGAAAAATAGGCCTAAATTTAATTTTTGATGACTCATTTTGATCTCTTCCCGTTTGATCTTCGGCGGGAATTTCTGAATTTTCGTTTGTTATTGTTATTGTTTCGAAAATCAAATCGTTCTTGAGTCATTGTCATCAGTCATTCGTCCAATTCAGTCTTATTTTTCCTGTTCTTTCATACTTGTAAAATTCCGGGCCGGGTCTGAGGAAATTTTCAAGGCCCTGGCCCGGCCCGGAAGGCCCGGTGTCAAAAATTCTGTATTTTTGAGCCAAATTTTGAGCTCTCAATATAATTTTTTCCATTTTTTTCGTATTTCGAATTGTTTGTCTGTCTGATCAAAAAAGATCGAAAAAACTCGAGAAAAAATTTTTTGGTCGAAAAAAATCACATAAGGGCCCCCCCCCTTATGTGTGTTTTGAAAATTTCGAAACTAGTGAAATGACAGGCCCGCCGGGAACTNTTNTATTTTTTTATTTTTTCAAAACAAGTTGGACCTGAAACTTCAAGTCTGTCGATTCCATTGAAGACTTCCGGTTTGCGCGGTCGATGTTCAAGAGCTTGGATTATCATTCAAGTTGTTATGCAGTCCATTTTGTTTAAATTTTCTTTTAATAAATGAAAAAATCTGACCACCGCGTAGATCGAACTCAGAACCTGTTTTCTTACCGGCCACCGCCTTATTCCTGGGATACAAAAAAGAAACAGCCCTTTCCGAGCTCGAGCCATCAAACACAAAACACAGAATCATCAATGAGTTTTCATTTCTCAATATGAGCAATGTGC